AATTTCACGTTCAACCTTTATTGGTTCTGGTAAATATGGAAGTCATTGGAGTGGTGATAATTCTGCTAAATGGACTGATCTTCGGGCTTCCATAATTAGTGTTATTGAATTTAATATTTTTGGTAGTTTTTAACTTTATTTTCTACTCAGAAAAATTTTAAGGAATTCCACATATGGGGGCAGATGTTTGTGGTTTTAACGACCCTTCAAACGAAGAACTTTGCCTTCGTTGGCAACAATTGGGGGCATTTCATCCTTTCTTTAGGTGAAAATTATTTATAGTCGAAAAAACGTGTATTTTTAAAGAAATTTATTTATTTATTTTATTTATTTATTTACGCCTTGATGGCGCGAGTCAAGTCAAAAAACAATAAAAAAATGAAATCAAGTCAAAAAAATATATAAACGAAATCATGTCAATAAATTAAAAAAACAGAATGTAAATAAATAGTATGAAAAAATTATAAGTGTATGAATTTAAGTCGAACTTAATTCAGCCTCCGAATTGCGGGAAAAATTAATATGTATGTTTTTTGCAAAATTTTTGTAATCTAATTTTCTAAAGTATGCTGGTAGTTTATTATAATACCTTATAGTCCTTACAAAAAATGAATTATGTCTAGTAATTGAGGTGCATGCTTTATATGATATTTTGTTTTCGTCCCCCCTTGTTTTAGAAGGAATGATGAAATAGGGGTTATTTATGTTAATCGGGCTTAATCCTATGCAATGCTTGTGAAAGATTTTAATATCTGACGGTTTACCTCCACAAGACCCTTGCCAATGGAAATCTGTAGAAATTGCAACACGCGTCTCTAATTTATTTCGTTATCAACATTTACCTTTTTTATATACGTAATTTTTATTTAAAAATTTTTTTTTCAATTTTTTATTTTTTCAGATTACATTTTCAAGCTTCATTTAAAGGGGGCACAGTCATTCGGCCACTTTTCTTTGAATTTCCAAATGATTTTAATACTCATAATTTAAATTATCAATTTTTGTGGGGATCTTCTTTGATGGTTATTCCTGTTTTGGATCCTGGGGTAAAAAATTGTTTAATTAAAAAATGATAAAATAATTTGGAAAAAACTACTAAAAAACTAAAATAAGTAAGCTTAATTAAAAGTGATTTTGTTAATTTACATTAATCTCTCATTTACCCTAAATGTAATTATGCTTTATTCTTTTATTTAGATGGTATTAAAAATATTTTTAAAGGTAGATAATGTCCGTGCCTATTTTCCAATTGATTCTGTTTGGTATTCAATTAGTCATGCAAATCAATACGGATCTGAATATTTTTCTGGTTATTATAATTTAAATGCGCCTCGTAATACTCCTTTACCTACATTTTTAAGAGGTAATATTTTAAATAAAAAATTTTTAAAATTTTTTCGGTAAGGTGGTTCAATAATTGTAAAACAATGGCCAGGACTTACAACAAAAGAATCTCGAAAAAATCCTTTTCAATTAACTGCGGCTTTGGGTAATTATTTTTAAATTAAAATTATAAAGTAATGACAACCTTTTAAAATCGTGGTCTTTTATAGATATTTAAAAATCTTTTATAGCTTAATTCTTAATTTTGTACTCTTGAAAAACAAAATCCATAGGACGGAATCGTGCTTATTTTTGGTGTTAGTAATAAATTGAGTGAAACCAAGAATCACAAAAAAATAATTTTAAATTAAGACCCAAAGACTTTAACCGCCGAAGGTCAACTTTATTGGGATGATGGAGAATCGATTATTTCTAATTTTGATAGTCATCAATTTTATTATTTTGAATTTACAATTAAAATTACAAGTGGACATAAAGGAAATTTAACAATTATACGTAAACATACTCCAAATAATGTAAAGTTTTTTAAAAATTAAATACTCTTTTTGAGATTTCCTTAATCTGACTTTTACTTTAAATAATTTTATTTAATCCTAAAATTTCTTTTTTTTTCTAGTCATCAATTATTTCTTTACCCCCACTTTCAATTATTGAAATACTTGGATATAATACAACAACAACAACAACAAACAATAATTATTTAAATATTCAAAAAATAATTTTAAATGGAAAATATTTAAATATTAAAAACAGTGAAATACAAATAAATTTAAATAAAACAAAAAAATATTTAAAAATACTTTCTCCAGTTTTAATTAATTTAAATGATAATAACCAAGATATATGGAATATTGAATGGTTTTGATTAAAAAGAAAAGAAGAAAAATAAAATATTAAATTATTCTCAAAAAATATTTTTAAATTCATTTTTGAATGATTTTTTTTATTTATTTTTAATTTTTGAAATATGTAAATAAATTAACAATTTATTTAATTTACAATAATTTTTCGTTAATTTCGCATTATACCCCCACACGTTGGCAAATATTTTCCGCAATGTTTGTTTTACTTCTTCATTCTTTCTCTTCTCATAAAGATTAAAAAATGTCATAAGTAAAAAACAACAAAAAACTTTTTGAGAATTAAGTTGTTGTGAATATGAGCCCTTACTCTACTCTTTTTGGAACCTAAAGTCCGGTATTCTGGGCATGTACAGTAGCTCTGTTTGAGTAGAGCTCTCAAAAAGTTTTTACGGGAATGGATTGAACTTATTTCAAATAATAGTGGTACACACCCGCTTTGATCTAATTGCTGCAGTTTGTGCTTCACAAATTTGACAAATCTGTCTGAAAGCAAATTTAAAGAATAAACTTAGCATCTTTTTCAAATTGACTGCCATATTTAAATTAAACCTGCCAATTGTTAATCTTTTGACTATTTTTTTAATCTTCATGAGAGGAAAAAGAAGGGGCAACATTGTGGAAACGGACGTGTGGGGGTATAATACATATGATAGTACCATTTCCTTTTAAAGATTTAAAAGGATGAGAGAAATGGAATTTTGACTTTTGATGAAATTCTAAAAGAAAATTATTTAAGTAATTCTCCAATTTTCAGAATTACTCATTTATAAACAACAACCCTCAATAAACAAAAAAATAAAAATATTTTTTTATATTTATAAATATTATTTATTTTCGTTTTTTAGATACCTTCCTTTCCTTATCAAAATAATAAAATTAAATAAATGTTTTATCTATTTTTATTTATTAAGAAATTATTTATTTCATATTTATGAAATGTTGTAAATAAATAATCAAATATATTTTTAACATTTTTTGGGTATTTAATATTTTCTTTTTTAAATTATTTTGGTTTTGATTGCTTATAATCTTGAGTTCTTTAATAAAAAAATATACTAAATATTTTAAAATTTCTCTTTTTTTTTAAAGTTTAAACGTTCCAGAATACTCCAAATTAAGTAATTTATTTGTAGTTTGTTTAATAGAGAAATTGATTTATTTATTTATTTATTTATTCAAAAATATAAAAATCCAACGAAAGGGAGTCCACTTACATCGTTGGTTAAATTATGAAAGTCAAATATAAAGTCAATCAAGAAAAAAAAAGGGCAAAGCGAATTAATTTAATTTAATAGTTTGTATTCTTTTTTCATTGGCCTGGTTGTTTAAATTTAATGGGGAAAAGTTGACAGATGTTCGCTTTGCCATTTAAGAAATAGGAATATAAAATTTTTTTAATTATTTTAAAAATCGCCACTTTAAATATACCTTAAAAAAACACAAAAATCAATACATAAATTATATAAAATAATAAAAATATAAATGTCATTTAAAAGGCATAAAAAATATAACCATACACAATAGAGTCTCGAAAAAAGGTAAAAACATTTCGCCAAGTAAAACATTTCGCCAATTAAAAGCATTTCGCCAAAATATTAATTTTTAAAGTATTATTAAGTTTTTTAGGTTTTAAGATTATGCCTTGTTTTTAGGGCTAACTGATGTAGAAATGCAATGTGTTTTTTGGGGAGTAGAAAAAATCGGAAACAACAAAAAAAGATATGTTGTAGTGTAATATGCTTATTTTGAGTTTTTGATATATCATGTTATTGTTTTAATAAGTCTGTTCTTAAATATTGAAACGGTTGGAGAATCTAAAATAGTCTTATCTAGCTGATTCCATAGTTTACTAGCTCTAGCGGTAAATAGATTTGATGTTTTGGCAAGCTTATGCCTGAGAATGATTCTTTTTGGATACCTGGATGAGCTACGTTCAGAGAGTTTAAATAGGGATTTTGGATCGAGACAAGAATATCCGTTAATTATTTTATACATGGTTATTAAATCTAATATTTTTCGTCTGTTTTCCAGGGTTGGTAAATCAAAAAGTATAAGTCTATTCTGATAATCTATATAAGGGAGTCTGCATTTCTTAAGAGCAATTTTAGTGAAATATTTTTGGCATTTTTCAATACGGTTGATGTCCTTTTTAGAGCTAGGGCTCCAGTTGACTGTGGAATATTCTAATAAGGATCTTATATAGCTAATATAGACAAGTTTCCAAATTCTGATTTTTCTTGTTTTAAGATATCTAAATAAGAGACGCATGCGATAATAAGCAGATTTTATAACGTTTGAAATGTGTTCAGTGAACTTAAGTTTATTATCTATAAGAATGCCTAAGTCGCGAATAGATTGAACTTCAGTTATGATATTCTGGTCTAGTTTGTATTGATGCTTATTGTTGTTATTTCCAAGATGGAGAACAAATGATTTAGACGGAGCAATTTTAATTTTCCATGTATTACACCAATGATTTATACTTATAAGAGCTTGTTCTAGCCTTTTACGTTCATTTGTAGTTTTATGGGTAATATAGAGTTTTACATCATCAGCAAATAATTTTATAGAAACTCCAAAAGGAATTATGTCAGGAAGATCATTTATATAAATTAAAAATAACACGGGTCCGAGAACTGATCCTTGTGGTACACCGGAAGTTACATGGTAGTATTCCGAATAGCTTTCGTTTATTTTAGTACTAAATGTACGGTTGGTAATAAAGTTGGAAATCCAGTCGAGGAGTTTCCCTCTTATTCCAATTCGTTGTAGCTTATGGATAAGTAAATTATGTGGGACCGAGTCAAAAGCTTTTTGGAAATCCAAATATATACAATCAATGTTTTTCTTATTCTCTATAGCATCAGAAAAATCATTTATTGTTGTAATTAGCTGCGATGTTGTTGATCTATTTCTAAGGAACCCGAATTGATGTTCGGAAATTAATTTATGACGGTACATAAAATCATATATTTTGTTTGCTATAATTTTCTCCATAACCCGACAAATGGCACAAGTAAGAGATATCGGACGATAGTTTTCCGGATTATTTCTTTCTCCTTTTTTAAATATTGGTACAACTATAGAGTGTTTCCATATTTTAGGTATAGAACCAGAATCCATTGATGCCCGGAAGATTTCAGCTAAATAAGGGGCTATTGAAAGCCAACAATTTTTAAGATATTTATAAGATACACCATCTGGTGAAGTTCCATGTTTATTAGGAAGTTTGCGCAAGATATCCGCGATGACTGAAGCATCAAATTCGATATCAATTAAAATAGGAATGTTACCAGTAGATGAGTTAGGTATAGAGGGTAAGTGTGTGTTATCAGTTATAGGTGTATAATACTTGCTAAATAATTTTGCAAAAATTTCTGCTTTGTTTTTGTCGTGGATAATAGCGTTATTATTATAAGTAAGTGATGGAAGTTCAAGGGATTTTTTATTTACATAATTTTTCATATATTTAAATATGTTTAACCTATCTTTTGATAAATATAGATTTTCTTTTTTTGCGTAAAAGTTCCTTATTTGTATTTTAATATGCAAAGAAATGCTAGCGTATTCTTTTTTGTAGCGTTCCTTGTCATGTTTCATAAGTCTCCACAAAATTCTTTTCTGCGAAATAGAGCCAAGTAAGGCTGGTGGATAGTTAGGGCGCATGCGACCATTTTTAATTAGATTGTGAGGAATATAGGAAGCTATAGAGTTTAATATTGAATTAACAAGCAATTCTGTTTTATCATGAATGTTGTAGACAAAATAGAAATTGTTATATAAATGTGAAGATAAATAAAAGTTCCATTCTTTTATAGATTTTGGATCAAATAAATAGACTTTATGTGGTTTCGAAGTGGATTTTGTAATTTTATTACAACTAATAGAAAAAGAAACAAGCATGTGGTCGCTTGAAATAGAACAAGGTGAAGTGTCAGTATAGAATAAGTCATCAGAATTAGAAAGACATAAGTCAAGAATTTGATTATTTCTTGTGAAATCAGTGTTGATAAGCTTAAGCCCATATGTGGAAAGAAAATCGACAAATGAAAGTCCGAAATTAGACTTTGGTTTTTGATAAGATGAGAGCCATTCTATATCTTTTGTACTAAAATTAAAATCACCTACTAGAATAGAATGGTCATCAATATATTTTTTCAAAAGTTTAAGAAGCTTTGACGTGTCAGTGAATGATAAGTTTGGTGGACGGTATAATAATATAATTTTATATTTATTGATTTCTGCAACAATTATTTCACAGCTATGAGCTGTTCCTACGAATTTTGAAACAATATTAAAAGATCTGTTATAAATTAACGCAAATCTACTATTTCTTATAGCCATTGTTTTGCTCCTTTGGTTTATGATTCAATACAGTACATGGGGAATTTAGATGATAATTGTTGTGGTATGGTTTTTTAATTTAAAAATAAATTTTATTTTCCTTTCCAATTTTTTATTTAAAATCAAATTAATTTTTTTTTAATTTTTAAAGGTGTGTATTATTATCATCTTCATACTTTTCCAATGGGATTTTAAAGGAAATCGAACAATGCAAGATGGACATTTACCTATTTAATTTAAAATATGTATTTACAATAATTATTAGGGATTAGACTAATTTTTTTGGATCTAAATTTGAAAAATTTCCACATTCGAGTAAAACCAGGAGGATGTGTTGGTTTGAAATTTGAAAATATTGATCAGTAAATACTTTTTTTAGTCTAATCCTTAATACAGTAGTGGACAAAATGTATCTTATAGCAAATTTCGTGGTTCCATTAATAAGGTGAGAGTATTCTCAAGTGAATACTTTCGGGTATTTGGGGGGTGGGGGGTTCAGATCTCCATGAGAAAAGGTATTAGAGGTTTTATTCTTTTCTAGAGACAATTTTGTATTTTTTTGATTAAAAGTCTACAATTTTGTCCACTACTGTATCTAAATACTTAAATAAAAATAACTTCAAATATCAATTTATTTTTCAAAAAATTTAATTTCTTTAACATTCAAAAATTAACAAATGTTTTCATAAATTCAAAATAAAAAAAACAACAATTTAAATTAAATAACAAAAAAACTTTTTCCAAAAATTTTCATTCCTCAACTTTCTTTGCCTTCTTCTTTTTCATTTTCTTAGCAGGTGGAGAAGTAATTTCTTCCTCCTTTTCAACTTTACCTCCTTCCCCATTCTCGGTTTGCATTACCTCATCATCTTCTACTGCAGCAGCTCTTTCTCGTTTCAAACGTTTCCTTTCTTTCTTGCGAAGTTTTTCAATCTTTAAAAAAATAATTAAATTTTTTACAAATATTTTAACAAATATTTCCAAAAAAAAGAAAACCAAAATCCTCAAAAATAATTTTGATCGTGAGAAAACTCAAAAAATACAAACCTTTGCCTTTTCTTCATTTGCCAATTCCATCGCTTCATGCATTACATCAATATTCTTTTTAGGTGCAGTTCCGGTGTCGTAATATGTTAGTCGATCCTCTACCTAAAATAAAATATTTGAATTGTTCTGAAATTTTCTTTGTTCTTAACAGGTTTCTAATTTCACCCAAATTATCAAAATTTTGACAAAAAATTAGAGATAATACGACTTATTCTTTGTTTAAAATAAATTTTATAAAAACAGTTTATCCTTTAAAATAATATTTACTTGTTGTCGAAGCATTTCTCCAAACGTAGGAACTGGCAAATCAGAAAAACTATCAATTCGGGAAGCAATCGCACATTTATTAGCAAGGAATCGGCTAATTCTTCCCTTATGTTTAGGTGGGGCACGTCCAATAAATGTTGAATGGAAAATGAGACCATATTTTGGAGTATTTGCTAGAAAAAAGAATTGAAATTAAATTATTTAAAATCTAATTTTTGTCAAAAATATTGAAAAATTAATTTTAGTTTTCTGAATATCTACAAGTGTTTATCAAAAAATACAAACTTTTAGTTTTCAATGCTCTAAAAAGTGCCTTCTCAGCTCCTAAAATTTGAATAGTCGATGCAGGATATTTTGCCAAATTTGTTAAACTTCCAGCACGAGAAATTAGACGTGCACCAACCTCAAAATAATTGTTTAGTTATTTAAAAAAGAAAAATTAATACTTGTTCTCCAATTAATGCAGACAAAGAAGGCGCGCAGCTATCCATACGATTCTGGGAAAATTAAATATTAAATACAAGATCGCTGAAAAAAAATTGAAAATCAAACAAACTTTAATATATTCATGTAAACGTTGTCTATATTCAGACAACGCAGCAACGCGTTTGGCAAAAGCATCAATGTTAATTAAATCCATTTGAGCAATTTCCATTCCCATTGAAGTACGTGCTGCTTCGATTATTTCAGCCGCTTTTTGCTCATCATCGATAATTTCTGAAAAAGAAGGATAAATCATTACCAAAGGTTTATCCAGAAATTGAATTTCGATATTAGGATAAACTGATAATATTGTAGTTTAAAACGTAAAAATTAAAATTTAATGTTTGCGATGTCCTAGTCGCGGAGTTATGGATCCCCCACATTCGCTATTACGTAATTTTAAGCTTTTGTCTAAAGAGCAGAAGGTATTAGCCAAAAAGAATTGTAAATTCAAAAAATATAAAAAACAAAAAAAACCTTTAATTTTCTCTTCAACATTATTATCAATTTTTTCTCTATCCATTATGGCAGAAGCACATTTAACATATTTGTAAAGATCTGGCACTAATCTGATAAGCTCCGGAAAATGATATGCATACCATTCTTTTATACGCATTCCAAAAAGATTTATATCCTTATCTAGTTGGTCCAAAAGAGCAATTGATTGAATAACCATATTATCGACACGATGGACATCAAATTTAACCTAAAAATTAAATTATTGAATTAAATAAGTTAATAAAGAAAAACTGGGATATTTCAATACTATAGGCTAACGACTGTGTAAAATTCAATGTATAAGTTCTAATCTTACAAATAATAAATAAAAAAATTTATAGTGGAATTAGTCTTAAGGTAATCCAAAGTTATAAAAAACACAAAAATAATTTTAATAAACCTTTGCGCGTGAGTAGCTATGACCTAACGAAAGTTGTGCTTTATTTAAAGACGCATGTGGCAAATCCTTAGCCAACAAATGGAAATGTGTTCGAACTCCTCTAAGAATTTCCTGGACAACAACAGCAAAAGTACACCGCAAAAGAGATTGAAATGCCTCTGAAATTGAGACAGCTAGACGACTATCAGCGGCACCAAGCAGAACTTTTTTCTTCTTTTTAGGTAAAAACGCCTCCAAAAAGTTGAGTAAATCCGAATGGACTTGACCTAAAAATGTGCAATATATAACAAAGGAAAAAATAAAACGAATATTTAAAACAACAAAGATCTTCAACATTAAATCAATATTTTAAAAAATTCAAAGAAAACCATCCAAGTTATTAAATAGAACTAATAAAAATAAAAACCTTCTGCCAATTTATTCGCATTCTCCAAAGCAGCCTCAGTATTCTTAAAGGGTTCAAAAGCATGGACTTGAACTATTCCTTGAAAACGTTGGGGATCGTTCATCGACTGTTGTACCTAATTATAAACATTTTTATTATAATGTAATTTTCAATAAATCTATAACCAGAAACGTTATTTTATTATACTATCCTAATCTAAGGCACCACTATCCTCAAAATTATTGATCACCACCAAATGCAAAATTTTTAACTTAAAATAAAAACCTCTGGAAGTATTTGCCCAATATCTTCAAATTCCTTTATTTTAAGCAAAGTGTATCCAACAGCATGTTCGTATAAAACATAATTTGGTGCTTCTGCAGTTGACATTTTAAGCTAATTAAAACTAAATAACAATAATTAATTCAAACGAAAATATAAAATAGCGAAAACATGACAATTAAAAACGAATGATTTCAAAGATTTTATTCTAGATTAATATTTAAACCTTAGTAAGAAAAATGTAATACATTGCGGCGTAAGATGAAGTTGCGATATAGGTAATCAGGGAAACTCAATTCAGAATTGGAAGATTATTGAATTGAGAGAATAGTCAATAAAGGTGAAATATGACAGAACGTCCAAATGACAATTTGACAATCAGAAAATTTTCATAATCGATTGGTAGGAGCAATTAATTTTTTCAGATCCCAATAAGAAAGTTAATGTGAAACCTGCACCGCAAAAATGATACAAATTATAATATTATAGAATGATGGATTTTATGCCCCGTAAAGTAGTAAAATTGTACTTGTACCCAAATAATATTTTTAGGATTTGAAGGAATAAAATTTACTACATCAATTTAATTGTAAGTTACGAGTCAGTTTAAAAATGAGTAAAGTAAAACTACTTTTATCTATGTGGTATGAAAATTATAAGTAAAAAGGACCAGAATTACCAATTAATAATAATTTAGATGATAAAATTTTAATTAAAAATCCTTGCATTATAAATATTGGCTTATAAAATTTTACTCATAGCAAATTAAAATTGAAAGAATATCACATTATGTAATGTCCGGGGAATTCCAAATAAATTACCCAGACTTTTATTTATAAATTTATAATTTAAATTAGTTATATTCCAATTAACTCCATCCTAACCAACCCGCAAAGCTAGAACCTTCACCCTTCTGATCTTGATTTCCTTGTGGAGCTTGAGCTGTTATATTCATTCTAACCATTTCCATCTCTCGTTCATCCAAGTGTAAAATTGTTTGCAAAACAGGCAGCAATTGTGCACGTTCATCAAAAACTCGAGGTGGTGTCAGAAATTTGAGTACTAAAGAAATGATTAAAATTTTTAAATTAGAATAAAGTTGTGGAATCTAATTTGAAAGGATTATTTATAAGGGGGGGGGGGTTATTCGATAAACCGATAAATAGTTATTTTACTTCCCCTTAATATTACCAAATTAAATTTAAAAAAAAACTAACCAATATTTTTAAAATATTCTGAACAAACTTCATTTTCTAATTGTTTTGCTCTATGTTGATTTCTCTCTAAACGACGAATTTCTTCCTTGAGAAGATTATTTTGTTCATTTAACCGGACATTAATCTCTAAAATATTTCCTTTAAATGTTGCAAAAATTAAATTTTAAAAACCTTCTGATTCGCTCAAAAGTTCCCTACAAGAATTAAGCTGTTGAATAATTAAATTATATTCTTCATGGCTATAATATATTCGTTGTAGACCGCCATTTAATGATAAAGCATCCGAAGGTAGTTCAGATACATTAAATGAAGGAATTTCACTTAAAGATAAACAAAATTTAAAAAATTTTGGATCTAAAAGAACTCCAGCGACAAACTAAAAGAACTCATTTTAATCATTTAAAAACCTGTTTGGCTCAATTTCTGCCTCTCTCAACATTGACTGTAAATCATCAAGTGAATCAGTTAAACTTTCACTATTCATTGTGGCATTATCTTCATCGCCTATAACAGCATTTCTACCAATAAACTCGTCCTCAAAACTTGATTGTTGATTTTGTGAAAAGTCTGTTGGAATTTTTGTTGTTAAGTTTAAAGGTTTAGGAAATTGTTTTTGCTGTTGATTAATATTCTTCTTTTGGATCGAAATTGAAGTTTTTCGTTGTTGTTTTTGAATAAAATGTTGAGGCAAAGGAGGCGAATTGTCAGATGTTGTAAGCTTTTTCTCGTCAAATAATAAAATCTTTAAAAAATATTAATTAACTAACAATAAATAAAAATTAAAAAAATTAACGAGCTGTTTTCAGCTAATAATTAGGTAACTGAAGCGAAACTTCATCTAAACAACCCGAATTAGCCCCTATATCAATTTAAAAAAAGGAGATTCTGGGAAGAAAAAGCTAGCATAAGAATGTCCTTGAACTAAATAAATACAGAAAATATTGTCCCAAATCTAATTTGCAAACAAAATATTCTAAATATTAAAAAAACCTTTCTTTTCGCCTCTTCTAATTCACTTTCCAAGCGTTCACATTCAATCTTCAATTCTTTTAGATTTTTAATTGCAACAATTTCCCTTCCAGTAATTAATTTTAAATCATTTTCTAAAGTGATTCGAAGCATTTCTTCTTTCTTTAATTTTTGTTCAAATTCTCCAATAGTCCGCTGGCGTTCTGATTGTGATTGACGACGAATTTGTGAAATTGAATCGTGCAAAGCATTTAATTCTTCCAATAAAGTTTTGGAATATTCTTGACTATTTTTGACCTCTTCTTCCAAAAATGAACATTTCGTTCTGCAAAAAGAATTTCAAAATATGTGTGTGTATTGAAAAACCACACACACAATTAATTCAACATCTTAGGATAAACAAACAGTTAAGAAATTTTTCCCGTAGCAAGGGAAAATTTTCGGGGGGCAAGGGGAGTCAAAAATTTTGATTTTTGCGCCAAAGGAGTAAATTTTGAGAATTTTGGAAGGCCAAAAAGTTTATTTTTTTGCTCCATCCCTCCCCAAATTTTTCCTTTTAACCATCTCGGGGGAAAGATTCCTTCTGGCTACGGGCCTGAAGAACATTATGAACAAAATAGCATATTAACAGTGTACATTTTTATAAAACATTGTATGAGGTCAAAAAATCTATTTTCATGATTCCAGTAGAGATAAAAAAATTTTTTTAACCTTAATTGTGAAATCAAGACATTACGTTGTTTAAGCAATTCAAGTAATTGATCAATTTCCCCGTCAAAAGACACATTGTCTGTACCAGAGTTATCTACCACTTGAGACAGAGTTGAATTAACATTGGTAGGAACATCAGAAACCTTCGAAGATTTGAATACAAATTCAGCACGTTCCTAAAAATAAATTTTAAATAATGAAAAATATAAAGATTTGGCAATATGGAACAACAAAAATATGCAAAATTAAAACACGCATCCTATTTAAAGGTTTCATAATTACTTAATCATATGAGTAAAAAAGTCAACTCACAATCAGTATGTATCAACTCAACAATGGTGATGTTTTATATTTATTTTCAAATTATAGATGAAATTTCAACTTATTCTTTTTAGTATCTCAACAATTTTAATTCTTAAATAAATAAAAATCGAACCTTATAATTTTTAAATTCTTCCTCTACACATTTAATTCTCGCTACCAAAGTATCATTCTCACATTTTAATCTTTTTACTTCAGCAAATCTAGCAGAACTTGATCGCTGCTCATTTTTTAATTCAGCAGAATTTGTTAATAAAGATTCGTTTAAAAAATTAATTTCTTGTTGCATTTGTTGTCTTGAATCATTTAATTGGATTAATAATGATGAAATTTCTTTTGAATTTTCAGCAATTAAATTGGACTTTTCGTCAATTGATTGTTTTAATTCTGTTGATTCAATGCCTTTTTGACGAAGTTGTTCATTAGTTTCAGCCTTTTCTTCATGTAAAGTAGCAATGTGCTGTGAAAGTTCCTACGCAAAAAATAATATTTAGAACTTAGACAAAGATTACAATTTAAAACAAAAATAACGACAAAAACAGACCTCAATCAGAGCTTCCTTTTCAGCCAATTTTTCTTTGCAGTCCTGTAATTCTTTCTTCATTTTAACACTAGCATTTTTATAATCTTCCAATTCAACAATAAGCATTGAAGTTCCATCCTGTTTCCCTTCAAAAATGGCAATTTTTGAGGATAGTTCTCTCACTTGATTTGCATTAGCTTCATTCTAAAAATTTATTTTTGATCCAAATAATTCCCCCATAAAAAAATATTTTAAAACCTCGTTTTTACTGGCTTCCAATTGTCTTTTAAGCTCCTTCTGATTTAATAACTGCTTCTTGACCAATTTAATCAAGTCATCCTTAGAGAGTGCTTCAAGCTAAAATTAATAAAATAAAAAAGGAAATATCATTAGAAATTTTGACTGTTAGAAATATGACAATAAGACGAGAAATAATAAAACCTTTGATAAATTTTGTTGGGGCTGCTTTGGTTGTTGAGGCTGTATTGATTCATTTTCAACTTTAGAATCAATATTAAGAGTAGTTGAAGCTGCAGTATTCACCTCTAAATCCTCATTTTCTCCAGATATCATTAAATATTTAAAATTTATAAAAGTTTGTTTCACAGTCTAAAATTTAAGAAATTAAAAAAAACTTGTTGGCAATCAGAAAATTAAAAAAGAAATTTACCTTCAATCGTTTACTTGACTTTTTATTATTTTAACATTTTTAACGTCCCCCTCCGAAATATCAAAAATGAGCAGTCCAAATTAGAGGTCGGCAAAATCGCATTCCCGGGATCCCGGAACGGGATTTTTTTTCAAAATTTTGTACGGGACGGGATCCCGCGGGATTAATCCCGTAAATCCCGTAATCCCGGTAATCCCGTTTTCAAATTTACCGGGATCCCGCCGGGATTCCGGGATTTTCAGAAAAAAAATTTTTAAACTATATATATGTTGAATATCGACGGATTTGTAGACAATATCGGTGTATTTTGATGGATTAAGGGAGGAATGAATAGATATCAGAGGATTAAGAGGGATATCAGTGGATTAAGAGAGGTTAAGAGGATTTGAATGCTTATAGGTGGATTTAGTGTGATATCGGTATATTTGAAGTGCTAAAGTGTAATTTGAAAAACGGTGGGTTAAAGCGAATATAGCGGATTTAGCGGCTCAACTGGATTTGAATGGATATATGGGGATTATTCTTCTAATCCCTCAATATACTATTAATCCCCAGATCCTCGATATACCTCTTAATAAATCCCTGATACCCCCCATTATCCTCCAAATCCCTCTTAATCCTGTGTTAATCCCAAATCCATGATATCTTTTTCCAATACCCCAAAATCATATATCTAATCCTCCGGAATTGAACTTAAGACGATTTGAAACTCACAAACCAACGTACATCTCACAATCCCTCTACATATATCTCTGTTAATCCCAAAGATCCATTCTTATTACTCTTAATCCATCCTCCACAGGCAAAACTTCGAATTTTTCTTTTTTGGAAGGCTAAGAAGCCCGCTTTTTTCATTTTTTAGCGCCGCAGGCGAAAATTTTGAGAATTTTTGAAGAGCAAGTCACAAGATTTCTTCCTTTTTCGGCGCCGCAGGCGAAAATTTTGAGAATTTTGGAAGGCAGAGAAGCTAGATTTCTTCCTTTTTCAGCTCCGCAGGCAGTTTACTGGAGTAATTAAAAATCCCGTAAATATGAAAAAAATTCCCGGGATCCCGGAACGGGATTACGTTTTAAAAGTTCGACCGGGACGGGATCCCGCGGGATTAATCCCGTAAATCCCGGAATCCCGGTAATCCCGTTTTCCGCGAAAAACCCGGGATTCCGGGACGGGATCCCGTAAAATCCCGTACGGGGTCCCGTCCCGTGCCGAGCTCTAGTCCAAATGTCTTTGAATCGACAAAATGTATTTAGGGAAATTTGTATATATGGACAAACGACAATTGGACAGTAAGACAATTGGACAGTTATTTATAAAGGTCCGTAAATATTTTCTCGAAGCGCCCATAATTCGTCCCACTCAAGACTTGTCCAACCTAAATTCGTCCCAGCCACATTTCGTCCCCCAGTACAAAATCCATTAATTCGCCCCACTTCTCCATACCGAATTAATCTTGCCGAAGACGTTTCTGTTTTGTCTACAAAAACCAACCCTAAATGCCCCTCTTTAGGGCCACAAATTTAATAATCCTCTTAAATATTCTTTTAAAATAATTTTAGTATGTTTATAAATTATCAAAGTATCATAAAATTAAACATAAATTTCTAAGTAAATATTGGTACTCTTGTGTTATCTCCCCGCATTTTTTATGGGGTAGGGGACGATTCAGTATCGCCGATTCAGTATCGCCAATTCAGTATCGCCGATTCAGTCTACGCCGATTCAGCATCCGCCGATTCAGTATCCGGCGATTCAGTATCGCCGATTCAGTATACGGGTAAAAGGGGACGATTCAGTATTCGTACATTGTTGGACTGGGAAAATCTTTTTTCTTGTAGATTTTTTTGGTTTTCTTACTTTCTACGATATAAAGAACATTTTTAAAGGCAGCCGAGACTTTTCTAAGGCTTTTCGTTCATAGACTGAAGGCTTAGTCTCGGCTTTTCTTCGAGGAACAAAAATTAAAAAAACAACTCAAATAATTGAATTCGTCAGGAAAATAAAAATTATTTTAATAAATATTTTATTGGACTGGAAATAAAACAAAAATTGACTAATAAATTAAACAATAATAGAATAATAATATAAAAAAATTCAAAGAAAATCAAGGGTCCATTTCGTAATTATGAGACAGGCCAGAAAGAAAATCAATAATCGGTTGTTCATAAAAAACTTGGTTCCAGTATAATTCATGACGAACCTGAAATTATATTTGGTCAAAATTCAATTTTAATGGATTTTTACCAGTCCATAATTGGCTGTAGTTCTGGCATTAAATTTCTATCAAGAGCAATAATCGCTGGAGTTAGATCTCCAATAGGTAGAAACGCCATCGACGTGATCCAACGAGATTGAGTGGCAAATACAGGATCATTACGATATCTCTGAAATTTACATTTCACCAAAAAATTTGAGTCAACCCTGAAGGCCTAAACCCCGAAATGTTTATTACCCTGAAGACCTACTTCGGAATATCTACACCAGACAAAAATTTACAATTTCAAACCTGCATCAAGCCGAACTCAGAAAGTTTTTTTTTCATATTGCGCACAAGATGGAAGAGACAACATCTTATTTCACAAAGAGGGAAGCACGTGCGAATTGAATTAATAGCGGCCATTTCGTAGTTCTGCATTCATTATTTCCGGCCGGAAGATTAATATTTATACTGAAAAGAAAAACAATAAAAACTGGAGAATATAAAAAACGAAAGGAGATTAAAATATTAATATGGATTAAAAAATATAATTAAAAAACAAAAAATCATATCGCGAGAAAAAAACAAAATTAGAAAACAAATCACGAGAAAAATTAAAGAATTTCACTTTTGAATACTGAATCGTCCCCTTTTACCCGTATACTGAATCGGCGATACTGAATCGCCGGATACTGAATCGGCGGATACTGAATCGGCGTAGACTGAATCGGCGATACTGAATCGTCCTTAACCGTTTTTTATGCCCCCCTTTTCTTCATTCTCTTTCCTTCTCATTGCCGCATAAATTAAAAATGGTCAAAGGCAATTAATGGTCAAAGGCAATCACTTAATTTATTTAAAAAGACATTAATCTGGGAAGGAGTCATTTTTGAATTTTTATTAAATTTGTTTTCGAAAAATGAATATCTTTACACTTCCTCAAAATGAAGAAGATGCGATTCAATTTTTACAGGGTATTTTTACAGGAATAAAAAACATCGGGGAACATCGCGGCATCGCTTGGAAAGTTACTTGGCAGAATTCATGTGTAGACAAGAAGCTAAAGGGGAAAATTTTTTTGAATGGATTTGTAAGAAAATTGCGGAATTTTGGCCTCCAAAATAATGTTTATTTGTCATATTTTTTGTTTTTATAAATTTAATTGCCTTTGACCATTAATTGCCTTTGACCATTCTTAATTTATGCGGCAATGAGAAGGAAAGAGAATGAAGAAAAGGGGGGCATAAAAAATGCGGGGAGATAACACAAGAGTACCTAAATATTTTGATACTATTTATTTTACATGTATTGAGGATTATTTCTACTATTGACCGTAATAATTCTGGATTTTTCATTAAAAATTCCATAGCTTTCAGGAACTTGAGAATAACCATTTTGAATGTTTTTGTGTTGATAAACAAATTTTGTTGTAGTTGTTAATAAAAGCTTTAAAATTTAATTGAATTATAATTTACCGTATTTCCTCTAAAATAGCGCCCCCCCCCCTCCAAAATAGCCCCCCTCTAGAGGTCGATCGAAAAAAATAGCTCCCGGGGCTATTTTAGAGGATTTACGGTAAGTATTTTCTTAAAAACTAACCGTTATAGCTAAAAAGGCAGTAATAAAAATTAAAATCCAAAATGCTGATACATTTACGAATTCTGAAGTAGATTCTTTTTTATTTAGTTGCGGCGAATTTGGATAATTATCTGTTAATTTAAGCAATATATTTTTATTTTTAGATAATTAATTTTAAGTTATTTTTAGAAATAATTAGGTTTCAAAAAATAATTTTATTTATTGAGCATGATATTTGATATTGCCCTGAGATATTAGGTTATCCAAAGGAATAACAGAACAATAATGTCCAAAACTAACTGATTTAACAAAAAATAATTTAACCATTTTTAATTATTTCTGTATTATTTTCATTTTCTTCCTCTTCCGAAACATCATTTGAAGGTAAAACAGCAAAAGAAGAACCAATTATTGGCAAAAAAGGTTTAATAGCTTCTTCAAATTTATTTTTATCTTGTTTATTTCCAAATAAATCTAACCAATTATTTTCTTCTTTATCTTCTTTATTTGAAAAAAAATATTTAAATATTTGTAAATAATTTACCTTTATTACTATAATTCCCTTCAATATTTTGACGGGCTTTTCTCTCCACAATTGGCATATCATGTAACCAAAAATCTAAGCCTTTCACATCCTTAGAATAAATATTAATAAACACGACAAAAGTTATTCAGTTAATAAAAATCGTAAAATATAAGAGCTTTAGCAGCGATATTCAAAACACATGAGAAACTCAAAAATTTTAATGGCAGATTTTGTTTTTCCCAACCCTACATTAACTACTTTATATTTAAAAATTGCCTGATATCCATCAACATTATGAGGCGCTTCCAAAATTGTATTATTGTCGCTAACATTAAAAGTTATTCGAAAATAGTTTCTTCCATTCCAAGTTTGAGTTCTCCAACTTTTATCAGGAGAATGCCCTCTTATAAAATTTTTAATCATTTTTGGGTAATAATTATTCATTAATTTTAAATCAGTTCTATTTAATTCAATTGGATGAAGACCAATAAAGAAATACCTTTTTTAAAATATTTAAATAAAAATATGTTTAAAAATAATTTACATATCACTAGCATGATTTGAATAATTAGCAATCTCAAATTCACCAACATAACTAATTCCACCAAATCTTGTATTTACTAAGGAAGTTAAAAATGCTTCAGAATGTAATGATTCATAAGAAACACGCATATGTGCTAAAAAATTTATTTTTAAATTATTTTTTAATATTTTTTTGATAAATATTTATGTGACTAGATAATTATTATAATTTTTATATTTTGATATAATTAGATAAAAATTCAAATCAAATTTAAGGATAGATTAAATTTGAAGTAATATAATTTTTAATTATTTGATAAAAATTTTAAAAATTTATATTTAATTTTAACTCTAAAAATTGAAAAAAAACTTTAATTTTAATTTAACTTCTTAAATAAATTTTTACTTGATATATTAAATTCATCTTTATATCTATCAAAACAAGCATTATATGATTGGAGAGAATAATAACCAAAAGTTCCTGTTGCCTTAAAACATTCCTTGTCTAACCTATCATCTGACCAACGATCAAATTCAATTATTGTTGTTGTAATCATTAATGGAATTGGCTAAAGAAATATATTTTTTATTTCCTAAATTAATTAAAAACCTTCCAATTTCTTAATAAATGTACATAATTATCAAAGGGAAGTATTTCTGTATCCGATTCGGGTCCACTAAAAACAATATCAAAATTTTCGTTGTATTGTTGTTGTCGTAGTAAATCTAATGAATCTATTTTACGTAAACATTCGGCTTTTTGTTTATCAGAAAATGTTTTGTTTGTTGAATTATCTCGAAGACACTAGAAAAAATAATTTTTGGAATGAGAATTTAAAAGTATTTGAATTTTTAAAAAATGTTCAAACAAATTTTTTAAGCATTTTTTAACTTAACAATTCGATACATATTCTTCATTTTTTTGAAAAAATTTTTCCTATACAATAAATTACAGAATTAACTTGGAATTTCATTGAAATGTTTGGAATCCTCTCTTGGGAGTAAATAAGTATTTGGCAAAAACATTCTAACTACTGTATATGTCCTCCTTTCAAATAATTACCACCCCTAAATTAATTACCCCTTCTAGCGAGAGGTTAACAAAATTGCCCCGGGTAATCATTTGAGTAAATACGGTAATTAATATTCTATAAATAAAACTTTTACATTAAAATGTTCTAGAAGAGCAAAACTTTGTTTTAAATTTGCATCTTTTCTAAAAAAAGGAACTCCAGAACTAATAAATGCCTGCTGAAATAATCCTTCCCTTACAGCTGGAGAACCACACAAATACATTAAAGCAGAAGCACCAGCACTATTTCCCATTGCTTTTTTATAAATGAAAATTATTTTTAAAAAATAAATAAAAATACCTGTAATTCTTTTATTATTTCCACCAAAATTGTGAATTTCTTTTTGAACCCATTCTAATGCAAAAATTATATCTATATAGAAATAAATATTTAAATATTCCTCATTTATTTTCAATTAATTTACCATGCATTGCCAAATTTCTTTTAACAACTTTATCATTCCCTAAATCTAAAAGACCAAAAACACCTAAACGATAAGCAGGAATTACAAAAATAATTCCATCAGATGAATATTTTTGTATAATTTGTGTGTCATTAAACATTGTAGCAGAATCATAGGCAAAACCTCCACCATGAATATAAAATAGAATTGGGCAGTTTTTGTTTTTCTAAAATTGTTTCATTTAATTTTTGACAAAGTTAGAAGTTCATACACCCTCTGGACTATTGAAAAAATTATATCTAAATTAGCGTGTCCATTTTTGGGGGTATAGCCTCGGCCTAGGCAACTCTTCCATAAAATGCTTTTATGGTTATTTATTATTATTGGATGTATGTAAAATTGATGTGATTTTTGGCTTTCCAATTTATCTCACATCAGACAATAATTAATTATCACATTAATGATAAAAACTTGCCAAACATTTAGGGCTAGTAAATATATTAATATAAATACAATCTTCAGAAATATATTTTTGTGGAGAACGAGTACTTGTTGTATTCTTGAAAATATTTAAATAAAAAAATTAAAAATTAATTTTTCCTTAAAACATACACTCAGACAAGCAGCACTATATTTTGTTGTATTTAATATTCCATTCCAAGGTTTTTTCTCTTTTAAAGGTAAAAAGCGAAGTTTTCCAATTGGTGGCTCAGAAAATGGAATTCCCTTTTTTAGAAATAATTAATTAATTAATTATTTTTAAATAAATTAATTACTTCAAAAACAATTGATGGTTTATTCTTTCCAGCTACAAAAGAAATTCTCCCTTCAATTTTACCTCCAGTCAATTCAATTGTTGGATTTTGACAATAAACACATTTTGTCTGTTAAATTTAAAAGAAAAATATTTCTTTTTAAATTTCTTTTTGTATTACTTTGGTATCCTCACTCTCCTTTGTTTTATTTTTGAAATTATGCCCATGACGATTAAATATCCAATCAAAAATATTTTGTTTGCTAAAAACATTTAATTAATTATTACAAAATTAATTTATTTTACTTAGTATTTTCTGAATTATTATTTAATCCAATAATTTTATTTAAAAAAAGAAATAGAAAAAATAATAAAAATAAATATTTCATTTAAAATTTAATTTAATTTATTAGATCTTTAAATTGCAAAATAAAAATAAATATATTTACTATTAAATACTAATAGATATATTTTTTTATTAACTTTCTGATAATAAAAATATATTTATGATAAATAAATTGTAAGAAATATATCAATATATTTATTTACCTTATCTGTATTTTATCGAAAAAAAGAATTAAAAACATATTATAGTTACATTTATTTCTTTCCCAAAACTTAAAAATTAACATTTAAGCAACTTATTGTTTCGATGTACTAAATACAATATTTTTTGGTTCTTCTAGGGCTCTCGTTTCTGTTCATCCAGATTAAGAACTCAGTCAGTGTGTTAGTGGTGACTTTTGTTAGTGGTGACACAAGTTAGTGGTGACTTTTGGCTCTAATATATTTTTTCAGGGACTTTCTTTTCATATCCTTTTTGCATCCAAAAGTCTGTCAGCTTTATTCGAAAGTTATACGGATAAAAAAAGCAAGAAAAATTAGAAGTCTGTAATAAAGAATCTGACTTTTTAAAATCATGTATTAGTTAATAGCCAGTTTATCACTCTATGATAATAAAAAGTATTTACTCATGAGTAGGGATGGGATTTATATGGACTATCAATCGAAAAATATGGACATATAATATGGACTAAAAATCTCAAAATATGGACTGAAATATGGATTAAAATCCAAAATATGGATCAAATATGGGCCGAAAACTGAAAATTTTTAACGGAAAAATTTTCATCTTTAAGCAGAAAATGTTAAACAAGCTAATTTTAATGCAAAATATTACAAATAAATCAAATTAAAGTAATTATTTTGTTCCTAAAAATACTTTGTATAATATTTGGGTCGAAATTTTTTGAAAAATTTTTATAAAAAATTTTTGAAAAAAAATTTTTTTAATTTTTGATTTTTGACAAAAATTTTTCGAAATTTTTTTTTCAAAAAATTTTTTTACAAAAATTTTTGACCAAAAATTTCAAAATTTTGACCAATTTTTGGCCAAATTTTCAAAATTTTGACCAATTTTTGGCAAAATTTTACAAAAAATGACGAAATATGGACAAAATATGGAAATATGGACGGAACGCCAAAATATGGAAAAATATGGAAAATATGGATTGATAACTCATTATCGGTCTTATCAACATATGCTAAAACTATGTTTTTTGTGCGTTTCACGATCCAACTAGGTCAGGAAAAAAATATGGAAATCCATATAAATCCCATCCCTACTCATGAGTCTTTGCTCACGAATTAGCTTATTATACATAGTATATTAATCTTTTATAAGTTTAAAAATAAATTTAAATTAATGTGAAGAAATCCTCACATTTGCCCATAAAATTTTGCCTATGCTTAAAATTTTTAAACATTAACGAGTAAAATTACGTTTTCTAAAGCTAAATATTTTGTTTTTTTTTCGAATTTCTTATTTAACAAAAAATACATATTTAAATTTTAGATTAATATTTATTTTCTAAATATTTTTTTCTTTCCTTTTGATTATTTTTTGTTCCATTTTTTAAAGTCTTTTTTGTAAATAAATATGTAAAATAAAAAAATCAGGGCAAAAAATCGCCGTCAGGTCCGTTCCTTTATTTTTTATTTAAAAACCAATTTTAACAAACAATTAAATTGGTTAACTAATTACGTAGTTCATCAAAGAATTCATCAAAGATTCATCAAAGACCAAGGCTAAAATAAAAAAAATTGGAAAAAATAGCTAAAAACAAGAATATAAGAAACGAAAAAAAACAAATATGTATAAATTTATATCCGGCTTTTAAATATTAATTTTTTATTCATAATTTTGAACATTTTTAAATTAAAAATTTTTTAGCAAAAATTAATTTATTTTTCCAATTTTTTTTAATTTCGTAAATTATTAAATGGGTAGGTTATTATTTAATTGAAATTTAAGTCGAATTTATTCTTTATTGTAGCTAATAAATACATACAAGTATTTAGTGCCAAAAACGATTCTAGCGTTATTTCTTTAAATATTTCTAGTGACCCCTCAAATCCCGACCCCCAATTATTGACTCATAATGGTAAACACTAAATTTTTTTATAAAAAATTAAAGTTCTCCCCTTTTTTTAAATTTTCCAGTCGTCCTTCACATTTTCTTGTTACTACATATAACAGACATTTAGCAAAAATAAGTTGATTGTTTATATTGGCCGCCGAGAAAAAATTTTTATAAAGCAACAACAACAAAAAATTTTTTTTGCACTTTTTGAAGGTAAAAGGCTGAAGAAAAGGTCATTTTTGATTTTATCTTGTTTTTTTTTGTCGAAGAATTGGAAATATTATTCTGCACTATATTTTTTAAATAAAAAATAATTTTAAACTAAAAAAGTGCATTAAATTCTTCCTGATTTTTTTGCTATTTTTTACACTTTATTTTGTTATTATTGCTACTTGAATATTTTTTAAACGTTAAGAAAATATTTTTGTAATGAGGAAATAAACAAAAATAATAAAAAATAAAAAAATAATTTTTTATTTAAATTAAAGTACATTTATGTAGATTCTTAATTATTTTTTAAAATAAATTTTTTCCTCAAATAGTACTGCCCCTCTAATAGGGGGGGGGGCCTTTAGAAGAGGGTTGAAAAATAGTACTGCCGACAGTACTATTTAATTATTATAAAAAATTTGGAAAAATTAAATCTTTTTATTTTATTTCATTAGTATTGAGACTGTCAAAAATATGGACACTAAATTGAAAGTACTTATAGGGTTGTCGGCTCCTGGAAATTCTTTGGATATTCGAAACCGAACTGAAAATTTTTAGTGTAGAGCACGAATTAGGAATGATAGCATCTCAAATTTTATTACTCTTTAGCGTCACAGGCGAAAATTTTGAGAATTTTGTAGGTCCAAAAGCCAGATCTTTCCATTTTTAGCGCCGCAGTCAAGAATTTTGGAAGGCTTTGTAAGCCAATTAAATTTTTTTTGCAAATTTTAACTTAAATAAAATTCAAATATTAAATAGTTCCTTTTTTTATTTTAAATTTTTTCCTTCATTTCAATTTTTTACTTCAGAAAATCTATTTCCTAATTCTCTGAATATTTTTATTAGTTCATTATTCAGAAATTTTTTGTTCCTCATTTGGATATAAATTAAAATTATATTTTTTATTTAATACAATTCTATAAATATTTTTTTGACCTTCTAAATTTGTCTTGGCTATAATTTTTGTCTGAAATTTAAATAGCAATTTACCTTTTTAAATTAAATATAGAATTTTTTAAAAAATTTTCTTTCGTTTCCGAGAAATGGAAATTTTGAAAAGTTAGAAAAATTCTGTGCTTTATCATCTTTATTTATTTCAACTTCATTAAATACCCCCCCCCCCCTCCCCCCAAAAAACAACTAAAAAATTATTTTAATTAATTAATGAATTTTTAATATAAAAATAATTTAATCTTCTTTTTTTTCATTATAAATTTAAACAATTTACGTATTTCCTTTTTGTCTACTCACATGCTTCTCTTTATTTTTTGGGAGGAAATATTATTAATTATTAAATAAATAAATAAATTGCACTTTCCGCGCATTTGTATGTACTTTTAAAAAATAAAATAATTATTTATTTCATCAATTATTATTGTGTGCTTCGATCTTTTCTTTTTAATTTATTTGTACTTTTATTAAGCTTTTTCTCTCTCTTTTTATAAATTTTGAGGAAATATTAAATAAAAGTAAATGTGTACTTGTATTTTTAATTTGTACTTTTCTCTATTTCCGACAAAAAAATATTTTAATATATTAAGCGGAACCAGACTAAATAATTATTTTTTTATTAAATAAAACACAAATAAAAGTGCTTTTAGTTGTTTAATTTTTTAAAAATTTAATTTTTGGACTAATAAAATGTTGATTTTTGTAATTAAAAAAAGATATATATTTAATTAATTTAAAATATTTTTTTTTAAAATTAAAAATGTCTAAATTTCTTTTTAATAATAACGGAAATACTAAAAAATATTTCAAATAAATTTTTCAGCTTTTTAGAGGTACTTTGAATCACAATTTTTGTCTTAACTCGTGATTTTTTGTACTTTCCCAACTTTTTAAATTTTAATTTTTTGGCAAAAAATTTTTTTGGTTGTAAGCCAAAAATAGAAAATATACATTTATAATTTTTTTGGAATATTTCCAAAAATAGTTTTAAAAAAGCCGCCAGTTATTTTTGCGTAAGCGTTTGGACTTTTGTTTTAAATAGAAGGGAAAGACGGATGCAAAAATTATATACGTTTACAAAAAAACATTTTTTTGTGAGAAAGGAACAGATGTAATAATAAAAAGTAACTGATTAGTAATTACAATTTCTAATTTAAAAATAAAATTAGTATGAAAAGTAATCCAAATTAAATTTTATTTTTGTTAAAATAAATATACATAGAATTAAAAATTAATTTGTAAACTTATAATTAAAAAAAAAAGATTGTAAACTACCTAAAGAATGTTAATTTAGTTTAATAATTAATTTAATATTAATAACCTCTCTTCCAAAATTTCTTTTCACGGATTTCTTTGTCCTCCAGATTTGGGTGGCCCTCGAGAGGATTTCTATATTTAAAGAGAATTACCCACTCTAGGGACCTTTTTTTCTTTTTTTTTCTAGGATCTTTTAAACAAAAAATATATTTAGAAAATTGAAAAAAACTTTTTTTTGGTTCATGTACTTTTTTCTAATAAAAAAATGCCAAAGTTCAAAACCAAAGAAAGTACATACTTTGCGTGCATTTACGTTACTTGTACTTTTTAATTTTGGCATTTATTTAGCATCATTGCCAGAACAAAGAATTTTATTTTATTAAATTAAAAAAAAAACTATTTTTATAAAAACCTACTTACATCATTCTCTTTTTTCTGTATTATACTTTAAATACACGAAATAAAGTGAAAGTTCTTTGTAAATAATTATATTAATTACTGTATTAAGCGTCATAATTATAGGGCTAATTAAAATTTTGGTTTTTTCT